CTTATTACATATCTTATTATTAAATTTTACTTTAAACTGCATATTTTCAAATAATTCATACTGAATATTTTTGTAGTGTTAGCAGTCAGACCCAGAATTTTGTCTTTATTGGAAAATGCCTTTAATGTGGGGCCCCATCTTAGGCTGATACTGAACACTTTCCCCAAGAACTATTTAGCCTTCATGGAAATCCTGCAAGGCACTGCAGTTGTTTTAATTATTTTGCAAATTGCAAAACCAAGACTCATGGAAACTAAATACAACCCTGTCTTTTGTTCTTTGAAAATTTAGTAACTGTATGCAATGTAATTTGCTCATATCACTACTCACTCCTCTCCTCCAGCTCCCCCAATCACACTTCTATTCCAACTTGATGTCTGCCTTTATAATTTACTTTTTGAAAAACCCAATTAGTTTGCTTTAGTTAATTTTATTTTAATCCAACTAATGACATCTACATGCACATGGGTCTGGGTTTATACATTGGAGTACCTGCAGACTTACCAGTGGTCACACTCCTAAAGAAAATAGGCTTCCTCCCCCCTCCAGCAACCACCAACTGTCAATAGCTCCTCAGCTATGGTTGAGGCATCAGGGCCACTTCCCTTGCTGTGCTGGAATTTTGAGTAGCTTCATCTTGTGTATGTATTGTACAGGTAACCATAGCTGCTGTGAATTCACCAATGCATCCTGCCAAGTTCAGAATACAGCATTTCACAACTCTCCTCCCCATCCTCCCACTTTTGCATTCTTTCCGTCTGTTCTTCCATGATGCTCAGTGAACTCTGAGAGAGGAGGTAGATGTTCTATACACAGCAGTTACTTCTGCTCTGCACTTCACTCAGTTATGAGTCTCTGCATTAGCTACTACCCTCTGTAATGATAATTTGCTCAGACTAAGACTGAGAGAAGCACAAATCTATGGATATGAACACAAATATTTAGAAGGAAATTTGACAACATGTCCATTCAGAAAAATGTTAGTAAGTTCTTTCCTAGGACTCATAACTCCTAGCAATGTCTATTGATCATATTTGCAGTAGCCAGGAAAAGGCAAACAACAGTTTTCAAAGCCCACACCTATACTAGGTGTCTATAATTTGTGTCTTTATCCCATTCCACAACCTTGCACTGATGATACTAAGTACCATCGTTTGATGGGGCCTACCCTGTCATAACATGGTATTTTTCAATATTTAATATGGTGCTCTATGAATTCCTATCTCAATTACTTTTCTACTGCTGTGATAAAACACTATGGCCAAGGAACCTTGTAGAAAAAAAAGGGTTTATTTGGGCCTTACTCACAGAAGGAAGGCATACATGTTGCTGAAGAAATAGCTGAGAGTTTACATGTTGAGACAACAGCCAGGAGGCAGAGAGGCAGAGAGAGCTAACCAGGAATGTCATCGGCTTTTGAAACCTCAAAGCCTACCCCCAGTGACACACCCCCTCCACCAAGGTCACACCTCCTAGCCCTTCCCAAATAGAACCACCAATGGGGAACTAAGTATTCAATTATATTAGTCTCATGAGTCTATAGGGACCACATTTCCCTAACCCTGAATTTAACATCTGTCACCCTCCACCCTTATAATTTTAAAGATCTTTAAATTTCACTGAGATTTTTCAAGTTGAATTCCAGCTTCTCTTCTCTTTCCTTATAAATAAGCATTAAAGTTTGTAATAATGATGTCAACATCAAAGCACTTTGGAATTATGCATGTGTGCTGCCTCGTGTGTGTGTGTGTGTGTGTGTGTGTGTGTGTGTGTGTGCGCGCGCGCGCGTGCGCATGTTAACAATTGCATGTGAGTATATATGAGCATGTTCATGCTAGCATATGTAAATGCACATATACATGCAAGTATGTAGGCTAAAGGACAACTTGGCTGTCATTTCTCAGGTATCATCCATCTTTCTTCTGGAAACAAGACCTTTCACTGACCTAAAAATTTCCATCTGGTCTGGCTGACCAGGGATCTGCCTGTCTCTGACTCCCTAGCTCTAGGCTTATAATCAGGAGCCGCTATGCCCAGATCCTCTAAAATGTGTATATATATATACGCATGTGTACATTTATATGTATACGTATGTGTGCATGTGTACATGGTAAGCATGATCCATAGCATCCATAGGGAGGTCACAGGACAAGCTCTGATATTAGTTCTTATCTTCCACATTGTAGCAGGGTCTTTTTACTGTAAGCCACACTCATGCCAGGCTTTCTGGTCCATTAGCTTCAGGGGAGTCCACTGTCTCTACTTTCCACCTTGACTTAGGAACACTGAAGTCACAAATGCAGGTGATTGTGTAAAGTTTTACATTTGTTAAGGCAAGCTTTGTGAGGCACATGCTCTATTCACTGGTCCATCTCCCTAGGCTATGTTCAGCTTCTGGGTCTTAGTGACTGAATACCCTCACACCTGCAAGGCAAACACCTAACCAGCTCAACTATTCCCCAGCTCTCAAAACATGTTCCAACTCTGGCTCTGAGGTGATGGCTTCAGCTAGGAGCTGTCTTTCCCTCTTCCACACTGATCAGCAAGATTCCAAATAATGAAAACAACTTCAGTCTGGGCCTCAAAGTGATCACAGCACAGGGCAGGCCCTCTTCACTGATGCTTGACAAACAGGCAGTGTGAGAATAAATCTTCACCATTTTAAACTATGTTGGTGCTGGAAACTGGACTTATGTCCTCTAAAAGGACAGGTAGTAAGTACCCTTAGCCATCAGCTCATTTCTCTAGTACCCATTTCCTTCGAACCTACAAGATTAACCAGGTGTCACTACTCCAAAATTATCTCTAAATCTAAACACAACACTTATCTCACTGCTGTTATCACTATGGCAGTCACTTCTGTCTCTTTCTAGACTCACTCTCCTGGATTCAGCTGCTCAAAATCCCCCCTAAGTATTCTTTGAGCATGAAATGAGATCCAAAGCCTATTGGGTGTCAGTAAGTGCCAAATTCTCTATCAAAGCCTCCATGTTCACATGTCCCAAGAGTCAGATAATTATAGTATATTAACAGTGTGGCACAATTCATGAGGAGACATGAACACAATTCTACTCATTCCAGATAGGGAACCAAGTACAGAGCAAAGTACAGATACCACCAAAGTTCAACTTGGTGAACCAGTAAGTTTCATTGGGGTTACTTACATGAGCAGAAATGACTCTAAGACAACTGCATTACCAAAGCCCACTCCAGCATCAGTGACAGCTCACAAATTCTGGAAACCTGGAACACACTACAGGGAGCTCAAAAGGTTGGAGTGTGTCTCTTCCAGATGGTTCAGGTTGGTCTGAGCCTCTATCAGGAAGGTCAGCTTATCTAAGAGTATCTCTCAGCAGTCCCACCTGCTTAAGCACTCTTGGAGTGCATAAATCTGGTCAGTTTCAGGGACTTCCTGAAATTTTCCTGTTGTTTATTTCCTGAGCTTAACGAACTTCCTTGAAGCATGGAATGTTTCACTTCCCTTGGAATATCCTGTGTCCTAAGGAGATTCCATCCAAGATGAGAGGTTTAATCTCAGAGGAACTAGTGTACAGCACTAGTTGAAAGACTCACCCTCTCTTCATCACTGGTCAGCTCCACATTCTGAAGCTTGTTTCTTCCTTAGGACCTGTGCAGTTCACATTCCTTTTAAGGGGGAATATCCTTCCCTTAGCCTTTCAGATCCTGATCTCAAAGACATATGCTGAAATAAGCCTTCCTTGGCTTCTTTTGCAAAGTATTTATCAATTTTTACCTGGAAATATGTAATTTATTAATTTGCTTGTATAAGCCCTAACAGTAAGAAAAGCTCAATGAGCAGAGCTATTTACTGATTGTGAAAGTTAGTCACATGATTGAGTTCAGAATCACCCAGGAGCTCTGGCCATGATTGTAAAGGCTGTGGCTTCATGTGACTTCAATGGACCAGCTGCCTTATGCTCCTGATGCCATGCCTTCCCCACCACGACAGACTATTGTAGCCATTATAAAACTGTGAGTGAGTCCTTCCTCTTTTACTTTTTTATCTTTTTAATATAACATTTATTTATTTGTTTGTTTGGTAGGGGGGTATGTGTGTGCACGTCATAATGTGTGTTGTGTACGTGTGTAGAAGTCAGAGTATAACTTGTTAGAATTGGTTCTCTTCTTCCACCCTGTGAGTCCCAAGGATTGAGCTCAGGTCACCACTGAAGTTGCTTCAGTCTGGTGTTCTGTGAAAAACAGTGAGAAGACTGACGAACACACTTGTGCTGCCACAAAGCCTAGGATAGCACAGGGCATGAAGTAAATCCAGGAAAGAGTATGCTGAATGAAATAAAATGAATAATGCAGGAGAAAGAGAGACAGAGAAGAGAGAGGGAGGGACAGACAGAAAGACAGAGAGAGACAGGGTCAGTCAGAGAGACACAGATAGAGAGACAGGGACAGAGAAAGACAGAGGGAGACAGGAGCAGACAGGCAGAGAAAGGGAGAAAGAGCGACAGAGGGACAAACAGGCAAGAGGGGAGGGGAGAGAAAAAAAGGAATTTGAAAGTTCGATTTACCTAATTTCTAATGATCTGGTCCTGAAATCCACTTACTTTCTGAACTGCTGAGAGATGGTTAGGAAAGGACAGAACCTTAAAGCTGATTTTCAGCCATTAAGATAATCCAAATCACACGTCTCACGTGTTTCCCAGAGAGCCCTGATTGCCCAAAGGAATAATATAATCTGAGAAATCGATCTTCCACTCTTGGATATGGCACAGAGGGATCAGAGAGCAATGGAGACTCTGGCTTAGCTGTCGGTTTCCTCAGGCCTTCCTGAGTTTCTCCCCAGAGGCCCGCTGTTCTGAAGCAGGCCCTGCTGGAAGTATTTGCCTCTCAGGTGGCCCAGCTCACTCAGCGTGAGCTGATTCTCGGCTGCTTCCAAGTCACAGGGAGGTCCTTCCTCTCAGGCTTCCCCCACACACAAAGGCAGTACTCCAACCTGCTTGGCTCTCCCACGGTACAGCTTAACACACTCATTGGCCTTCAGCCTGCCGGGGGCGGGGCTTGGGTGGTCCTCAAAAGGAATTAGCAGCGTGAGAGGAGAGCCCTGGAGGCTGATGCTCTTATCTCACTCTCTCCGGTCTTCCTCAGGAGCCTCTGCTTTCAGGATTGTCCTCCTTCTGGCTCAGTTTGGGACAGAGCCTCCAGTCAGGGGACACCTGTGGCCTTGGATTTTAATCTCAGTGATGGGAAAACTTGAAAATGCTTCCTGGATCCATGATCCTCTCATGAAGTATCTGAACAGCACCGAGGAGTATCTGGCTCACCTCTGTGGACCCCGGCGCAGCCACCTCTCACTCCCCATGTCTGTGGCCTATGCTCTGATCTTCGTGGTCGGGGTGATGGGCAATCTTCTGGTGTGCCTGGTGATCTTCCGACATCAGACCTTGAAGACACCCACCAACTACTACCTCTTCAGCTTGGCAGTCTCAGACCTGCTGGTCCTGATCTTTGGGATGCCTCTGGAGGTCTATGAGATGTGGCACAATTACCCCTTCCTGTTCGGGCCGGTGGGCTGCTACTTCAAGACAGCCCTCTTCGAGACTGTGTGCTTTGCCTCCATTCTCAGTGTCACCACGGTTAGCATAGAGCGCTATGTGGCCATCGTCCACCCGTTCCGAGCCAAGTTGGAGAGCACGCGACGACGGGCCCTCAGGATCCTCAGCCTGGTCTGGGGCTTCTCTGTGATCTTTTCTTTGCCCAACACCAGCATCCACGGCATCAAGTTCCAGCATTTTCCCAACGGGTCCTCTGTGCCTGGTTCAGCCACCTGCACAGTCACCAAGCCCATGTGGGTATACAACCTCATCATCCAAGCCACCTCCTTCCTCTTTTACATCCTCCCGATGACCATCATCAGCATCCTCTACTACCTTATGGGGCTGAGAGTGAGTATCCAAGGTGACTGTCTTGGGGCAGCATCCCTCCCTGTTTTCACCCATTTTGAGTTCAAAGAAAGACAGCATGTAGGAAAGATATAATCAGAATGGGATACAGAGGATGACTTGAAGTGGGAAATTAAGAAACAAAAGTTCATAGGTAGGTAAAGTAGTTTGATGTGTGGATTCCACATGTGTACTCAGAATATATGTCACAAGTAAAATCAGTTTGATCTCCTTTTGAGCAGGGGGAAACTGCCACCAATTAGAGTAAAACCACAACCCTCTATTATTTTCAGTACCGGGTGTCCATCATTCTCTCTATGCTTGTTCACCTGCGTTTCTAAGAAAGTGCTAGAAAACTTCCTAGTGGTGTCAATCTAGATATCACTCGAGGGGGAAATCTGACTCCTGGGGCTTGAGGAGAAGTCTCACTTTGAATGTGCACAGGAAGTGATCTGGGGTTAGAAGGTCACATTCTGGGGGGACCCTCCCTCATTCTGTTGCCTCGTTGCTGCCCCTGCTCCACCTTACTGACTATGCTGAATTTTTTCACTGTACCAGCTTATCCTGAGTGTATTGTGAGCAATCCATGCTTAGCAGTCTGAGACAGATATACAGATGTGAAGAAGGACAGTATTCCCTTGTGGCTGCACTGACCCTTTGATTGGATTATCAAGTTAAATCATATGTGTTTATGTACATATGTATGACTTATATTTCATATATACTGTACATATATTTCCCTTGAAACCAGTTTTTTAGCCGGTAGGGATTGAGGGATGGACAAAGTAAACAAAACTCCTAAGTTAGAGCAGTATAAGGCATGATTAAGACACATATGGGTTTCTGGGAAAATCACTCAGTTTTTCCTGTATCTTACAATTAGAGGTTCCTTCTCTAAGCTTGTGGAGATAAGCAACTTTTTTCCGTTTTCTCTGGTTCCAAATTAGATGAGAGAATCTGTTTTTGAGACATGTAGTAGTGAATCTTTATACTTCCTACTGTATTCTGTACCCACATTCATAGATGTGAGTCCTCACTATGATGGTTTTATATTCATTTAAGGAAGTGGTTCACACAGTAAATAGTTATGGCATTATTTAGAATCTCAGGTCCTCAGCTGACATACGCCTTTAGGCAAGGTGCACACAATTCTCCTGGAATTGCTTTCCCATTTAGAGAATGAAAAGGTCACATCACATCATTTCTAAGGCTTCTTCTGGCTATAACAGTCTGTGGTTCTTTTTAAAAAGGTAAAGAGACTATGAGTGGGATAGACATGAGCTAAAAGTGAAAGAATTGCACACACACACACACACACACACACACACACACACACCTCTGACACTGTGGTTCCAGATGCAGGATCCCACCCCAGTCCGTCTCTGAGGAAGGTGTTTATCAACAAAGAGAGGACCATTTTTTTTTAATATTTACTGGTCCAAAATGAATGGCCAAGTTTGAGTAGGAAGATCATAGAAATGTAGGCACAGGAATGAATCTGGCCAGGGAGTGGTGACATTTTCCCTAAGATCTGTCACCCCAGACCAGCTCAGTGCCACAGTTCCAGAATGTCCTGTGTATCTAATCCAGAAGAAAAGACTTCGATACATTTCTAAGTATCATGCATTCCATAAGACCTTCCCTCCCCCAGACTTTAATAACAATATCATCTTGTTCAATGCTAAATACTCTTTTGTCTTGTATAAATTTGGGGAAAATGCCCAAGTTTAACAGCAAACACAGAGTCCTCCAAGCTTCTTGCCAGAGTTTCATTTTGTTCCACTCTCATGAATCCACAGTGTCTGTGTCCCAGACTATTGGCAGCTCAGATAATAGCTTCCCTACTTTGTGTGAGTAATGCAACTAATGACTTCCTGTGTCAGAAAAGATGAAGTAGGAGTGAATGGACTAGAGGGTACCAAGAAAGGAAATGTCTGATTTGTCATTCTGAGAATTTAAACAGCCCTCCACCAGTGACCTGCAGAAGGAAGCCCTGTTCAGTTTCACAGGTGTCACAACTTCTAGACCTGTTTCCCTGGAAAGTTCCTGCCACCAACTACCACATTTCCTTTGCCTTTTTGACTCTTGTCCCCTCTTTCAGCCATGCTTTAGGTGAACTTCCTCAAGGAAACTCTCCTAGACCCCTGAGCTGTCCTGCCTCTGTTGTAGATATCATTAATTCTAGTAACTTCCTTCACTATAATTTATAACCCCTTGTGGACCCTTTAGTTCATTTATTTCTCCCAAACCAGACTAAGTTCAGTCAAGAAATGAGGCTAAATTACTTTCTTCATTACTGAGTTCCATCTCCTCCACATTTAAAACAAAAGACTTGGAAAATTGTCACAAAGGCCCTTTGAATTTTCTAGATTTAAAGACACCCAAGACCTAATGGTATTAAGGTTATTGAGTCTGTTGAGAAGTCTAAAGGTGTGATTGAGTCTGGTTGCCACTATCTTCAGAATGCAACCAAGACAAGACTGATGAAAACACAGGACAAAAGAGATCCTGTGTATAATCAAAGATGAACAATCAGTGATGCTACCCCATTCCAGGACATGAATTTCCATAAAGATGCTCTTCAGGCTTAGACCATCATGGAGACAGAAGGTATGTGACCAAAGAGTAGCTTCCCAGCCCTCCAGGAGGAAGTACTGGCAAAGTCTAGCCTAATCCTTGTCTCACACATGACATTTGTGTTTGTGAGGGGACAGGTGTGAATTACATAAAAGTCAATTATGTTTGACAGGCTTCATACAAGCTAGATAGTGGATGAATTGATGGATGGATGGATGGATGGATGATGGGTGGACATGATGGGTAGAGATAGATGGACAGAGAGATGTGATAAATGGATGGATGGTAGACAAGGGCAGAATGGCAAATTGATAGAGATAAATAGATAGACAGATGGTTAGACAGACAGATAGGAGAAGAGGAGATAGATGGACAGAGAGATGGATGGATGGGTGGGTGGATGAATGGACTGATGGAGGGATGAATGAACTGATAGAGAAAACATGGAAGTATAGATCAGGACAATATATATCTATACCTATATTCACATATATACACATATATACTCAAGTGTACACACACACACACACACCAAAATCACCGTGAACAGCTAATCAATACAATAACCTAAAAGACAATCAGCCCTGTGACCTTCACTTTGGTGTTCCATAGCTGGAGGTATCAGATAGGCAAGCTTCTGAGATTCTGAGCCTTGGAGAATCCTATAGTGTGACCACAGTGTCTCATCCCTCTTTGTCACTCCCTGAGTTTATACCATTGATGACTGAGTACCTACCAATGCTAAGCACCTGAAATGAAATGAAAGTATTTAATATTAAAGCATCATTTAACATTAACTAGACAAATGTCTTAGACTGCTGTGTCAGCCACTGTGAACCCTGCTGGGACACTGCAATATGTATATATTCAGTCCATCTCTTCCATAAGTTGGCTGGTTGTGCCATTATAAACTGGAAATACTTTAAGGTGAGCAGTAATTGATAAGTGGTTTTTCTTTGGGTACAAACTACAATGGCTAGGAGACTAGTTCATAAAAAGAACTATGTGGAATAATTGCTTGGTGTTTGATTTAAACAAATGTCTGTGGGAGTACAGTTTTCCCCTGAGAACTATGAAATCCAGTCATGATGTGACTGACTTTTCAACATGCTTCCATTGCTCTTAACTATTGACTAAAATCAATTATGAAACAACTAGCAACTGTGTCTTACAATGGCCACAGTTTTAGAGCCATATATAAAATTTAAATATTATTATTATTATTTCCCCTTTATTGAAAATAGATTCTTTTCTCATATAATATATCTTGGTTTCAATTTCCCTTCTCTTTACTCCTCCCAGTTTCTCTCCACCTCCCCTCCCATTCTAATCCACTCCCTTTGAGAGTCATCTGGTGAGAATTCTCTTTTTAGCTCTCTACCCCATTTTTCAATTGGGTTATTTTGTATTTTGATGTCTAGTTTCTTGAGTTCTTTATGTATTTTGAAGATTAAACCTTCTGTCTGATGTGGGGTTGGTGAAGAACTTTTCCCATTCTGTAGGCTGTTGTTTTGTCTTATTGACAGTGTCCTTTGCCTTACAGATGCTTTTCAGTTTCAGGAGGTCCCACTTATTGATTGTTGCTCTCATTTTCTGTGCTACTGGTGTTGTATTTAGGAAGTAGTCTCCTATGCCAATTCGCTCAAGGCTACTTCCCACTTTTTCTTCTATCAGGTTCAATGTAGCTGAATTTATGTTGAGGTCCTTGATCCATTTGGATTTGAGTTTTGTGCATGGGGATAGACATGGATCTATTTGCAATCTCCTACATGTTGACATCCAGTTAAAGATGTTTTATTTTTTCCACTGTACCATTTTGGCTTCTTTGCCAAAACTCAGGTGCTCATAGGTGTGCGGATTAATGTCTTCGATTTGATTCCATTGATCCACCTCTCTCTGTTTTTATGCCAATACCTAGATGTTTTCATTACTATAGTTCTATAGAAGAGTTTGAATTCAGGGATGGTGATGCCTCTGCAAGTTCCTTTATTGTACAGGATTGCTTTAGCGATTCTGTTTTTTTTTTCTTATGAAGTTGAGTATTGTTTTTTCAACGTCTGTGAAGAATTATATTGAGATTTTGATGGAAATTGCATCAAATCTGTAGATTGCTTTTGGTAGGGTTGCCATTTCCTTTCTGTCTCTCATTAAAAAAGAACAAGCTTCTATGAGATAACATGAAAATACAGCAAAATAAATAAAATATAATAAGATAAAACAAAAACCATAACAACGAAGTTGGACAAAGCAAACCAACAAAGAGCCCAGGAGAAGGCACAAGAGTCAGAGATCATTTGTTCCCACAAATGGAGTCCCATAAAAATACTAAACTGAAAGGCTACACACACACACACACACACACACACACACACACACACACGCACGCACGCAGGCACGCACACACGCACAGGATCTGGTGCAGACCCAAGCAGACCTGTGCTTATTGCTTCAGTCTCTGAGTTCATATGAGCTTTGCTCAGTTGATTTGGAGGGCCTTGTTCTTCTGATGTCCTCTATACCCTTTGGCTCTTACACATTTTCACTTCTCCTTCCACAATGTTCCCTGAGCTCTGAGGGGAGGGATTTGGTGGAGACATCCCATTTAGGACTGCATGTTCCAAGGTCTCTCTCTTCCTCTCTATGTAATGTCTGGCTGTGGGTCTCCACATTTATTCCCTCTTCCCAGGTGACTCTAGGTTTGTGCCAAGTTGACAGCTGATGCAAAGGCTAACATCTATCAAGCACAACACAGCTGAGTTACAAGAAGGACATTTTCCCAGAAGAGACTAAGTAGTCCTCATAAGGACATTCATAAATACAAATAGTTGTCCTTGGGTATTTTAATTTACTTTCCATCGTTTGGGAAGAGAGGGAACAATAATAAGAATCAGCAGAATAACAATAACTTACTACTTGTTGAGTACCCCATGTCCTGTTCTGACATGTTTATCATATTAGGAACACATTATCACTTTCAAGCAAACCTTATTTATTTCTGCACAAGTGCAGGATTCCCCTCAGTTCTTCTCAGGTTCCTGGTGACTCTAAAAATATCAAATGGCTTTTAACGCCTCACTTACTAAAAACATAGACTTTATGTGGAGATCACCACTAAGCCCCAGAGACAGGCAGACATAGTAACACACAGGTAGGTACCTGGAGCGCACGTGTTCCTGTGGACTACTCCATTTTAAGGAGCGTGTATATTGTAGAGACATATGATATGGATTTGTGGCACTTTCAAGGTGAACTTAATGGACCATTCTTCCAAGTCATCCAACTTTAAAGACTTTCTTTAAAGCATTGTCTCATGATAACTTACATCCCAGACAGCTCACTGTTCCTTAGTCTGTCCATCATTACTCACAATCCCATGCACTTCTCATTTACCTTGAACTTGAAAATGTCTCCTTGTAATTCAGTGGGCTGGTTTTAATGAAGCTTCAGACTGTGTAGAACAATTTGGATTTTTCTCCCACTGGATGACCTCAGTTGATCCAGCAGGACCCATGTCACCACCAGTGAAGGAATCTAGCTTGACTGTTGGCACATGAAAATCCACAAAACAGACATAGCTCTCAGTAAAGGCTCCTTCAGGAAAATACACACGGTTGTCAAACACCCAGACTCTTTTCTGGTTCTTTGCTCTGCTTTCTAGAGAGCTTAAAGCCTGCACACAGCAGAACCGTGATTGCTTTTCTTGTAGTGTCACATAAGCAACCTCTGTAATTCCTACCTCTGATGCAGTGAAACCCCATTGGCTCCAGTTACCCAACCTCTGGGATGGGGCCATGGGAAAGTGATCTGCTAGGTTATTTGGTAATGGGAGCAGGAGTTGGAGCTAACTCAGCTTAATCTTCCCTGCCATCTTGATTGGATTTGGAACTACCTAGGAGACACACCCCTGGGCATTTTTCTGAGGACATTTCCAGAGAAGTGTAACTGAGGGAAGAAGACTCACCGTGAATGATGGTAGCAGCATCCCATATGCTGGGCTTCCAGACTAAATAAAAAGGGAATGTAAGAGAAAGGGAGTCTAGCACTGTATTGGTTTCCTTCTGTTTTCTGACTGGGATGCAATGTGACCATCTGCTTGATACCTCTGCCTCTGTAACCTCCTCTCCCTCTCTCTAATGGAAACCAATACTGTGCTGGACTCCCTTTCTCTTACATTCTCTTTTTATTTAGGAAAAAAAAATCAATGGGCTAGAGCTGCTGTGTCTTCAGCAGTAGGTGGACCTTAAACAGGCTACTAGAGATGGCAAGCTGCTGTGTCTCCAGCAGTAGGTGGACCTTAAACAGGCTAGTAGAGATGGTGAGTCAGATCATGTTGATATTCCAAACTTACATTATAAGATCACACTATATTACCATTACTGTAAATATGTGTCAGTGTTTAAATTCTGAAGGATATGCAGTTTTATTAGTAGAATAAAAAAATATCATGTCCTAAATTATGCTTGCAGTACAGTGTCGGGGAATCTGCTGAATCAGGCTGGGAACTTATTACTCAAAAGAAATGTGACTCCCCTTTCAACTGAGATAAGCATGGGAGATACAAATGTGGAAACTGGGGAAAGGGATACACAGCCCCTGGAAGATCCACATTGCTCATGATCACATTCAAGATGCCGAGAGTACCACAACATGGTGGTTTGAATTCCAATGCACCCCATATGCCCATATATTTGTATACCTTGTTTACAGTTAATGAACTGTTGGGAAAGATTAGGAGGTTTGGCCTTTGAGGTTTCAAATGCCCACATCAAACTCAGTGGCTCTCTTTCTCTTTGCCCACTGCCCTTGAATCAGGGTGTAAAGCTTTCAGCTACTGCTCTAGCACTATGCCTTCCTGCTTGCCACCATATTTTCCACCATGATGATCATGGACTAACCCTCTGAAACTGTAAGCAAGCCCCATTAAATGCTTCCTTTTATAAGTGTTGCCTTAGCCATGGTGTCTCTTTACAGCAACAGAACAGTAACTAAGACACACAACAAATATCATAATATCCATGAAATCATAATATTTTCTTTTCTGGAATCTCATATCATGTGGAACAGAGTCTTGACTCTAATGATGTGTCTAACAAAAATGAAATAACAAGTGAATTGAAGGGCCTAATTAGCATTTTATTGTTACTGATCATTTCAGAATTAATCATTCTCTCTCTGTGTGTGTGTGTGTGTGTGTGTGTGTATGTGTGTGTGTGTGAGAGAGAGAGACAGACAGACAGACAGACAGGGAGAGAGAGAGAGAGAGAGAGATTAACACACTACAGAACTAGAACTGCATAGAATGATTTATTACAAACTTGATTTTGCTGTATCTTACTCATAACCCTGTCCAAATGAGTCAGAGGACCTAGATTTAATTCTGCCTCCAGTGAAGTATTTAAAAGTTGAAAACCATTTCTTTAAGTGCTGTTTGTATACCTCCAAAGTTCCTGGTGGGGGGAGCAAGCTTCTTCCTAACAACATCTCCACTTCTTTTTCAGCTAAAGAGAGATGAATCCCTTGAGGCAGACAAAGTTTCTGTGAACATCCACAGACCCTCCAGAAAATCAGTCACCAAGATGCTGTGTAAGCTGCTCACTTTGTTTCAGTGTCCATTCCCTTCTGTTTATAAGAGCGAAGGACTTGTGTTTGGCACTGACATAATGGTGCTGGCTGAGATGTTCTTCTTGGTTTCCAGAAAGTTCTATGACTTGCCTGTTTTGTCTCATCTTTGGCTTTGAGCATTCAAAACCTTGTGCTAGATTACAGTTGCCAAGACTCCTTCCAACTGCTATGAAATAAATCATATTGGCACGCTGAGCCCAAAGCCCTACTCTCTCTGTAAGATGTGGTGGGATTGGGTTCTGAGCCTGTTTGTGTTCCAGCGTTCTTTAAAGATGTGGTACAGGTCATGGTGGATCCTGCACTCACAAATGCTTAAACACACACACACAATGTTTTATAACTCACCTCAGGGGATTGTGAGCTCCCAATGGCCATGTAGACTCTGGAGATCTTTTTAATTCCAGGTTAAGAACAACTAGTCATGAATTCTCCTGAGAAAACTATTCCACCGAGGTCATTGTGTAGCCTTGTATCAAAGCATCAACCTGTGTAAAAACAAAACAGTAAAAATAGCCTTTTATTGGAAATACACATACTTGTAAGAGACAAAGTATTTTAAGAAATCTAGGTGCTGACCAACCTCTCCCCAAAAGATGCTAGAAAAGTCAATGAATCCTTGGGGCGGGGAGATGGACCAGCAGTTAAAACATTTGTAATGAAAACGTGAACACTGGGGTCAGATTCCCAGAACCCACATAACGCTGGTGCAGTGACCACCTCCTTATAATTCCACTCTTAGAAGGTAGAGACAGGGCTCCATAGAACAAATGGGCTATGAAGACTGGCCATATTAGTGAACTCTGGGTTTGACTGTGAGATCCTGCCTCAGTGAATAAGGTAGATAAGTGACTGAGGACACACACACACACACACATACCTATACACATTCAAACATATATGCACACACATGGACATACATACACACACAAGTGAAACAATGAAAAAGAACTAAGCAAAGAAACACCAGTCCTCCAGGAGAGACACTGATGAGATGTGTAAAACCTCATATACTCCAGATCACAATTTACATTCAGAAAGAAAAGAATCCCCAGGCCAATGTGTGCATGGAGCATGGAAGCTGTGCCCTCTGCGAAGGAAAACCAGAAGTCACTGAAGTTGGTCTTTTGACTCCAATAGTTATTTTCTTTGAAGTGTTTCAGCCCCGGGTGGGACTTGGCCTTTGTTGTCATGAAATAGGGAGTCTTCGTTATTTCTCCCCTTCTCCCTTTGATCATGATCTCATCAATGTTTGCTCATGTTAACATCTCAGTAACATGCCTGGGGTGGAGCTCTCTGGTAGAGCACATGACCTGCATGTGAAAGGCCCTGAGTTCAATTCCTAGCAACACACACACACACACACACACAAAGATCTAAGCTGGGTTTAAAGCCAACCTGGGCAATTTAATGGGACTATGTTTCAAAATAAAAAGTGAAAAGAGGACTGAGTTGTAGCTCTGTGATAGAGTGCTTGCTTGGCATGTGTGAGGTGTGAGATCTTGGGTTCAATTCCCAATCCCATTGGAAAGGGAGGAAAAGTTATTATAATAAAATGTAAAGCATTTCCTTCATTATTACCAGGAATTATGGCTATAAGTAGGCAGTTGGTGGACATTTCATTGAGGGAGAAACCAGATATTTTTCTGGAAGGCACATTACACAGGCAGATAGCTTTCCCTCAGTGTTAACTCCAGAAGGAAGCCAAGGTGCCATTTCCTGTGAAAACCTGGAATGTGCACATGTGTGGAGTTGTGAAATGAAGACCATGTACCCACCTCTTATCCTCAGATGCTCCCAGCTCGTTACTGCTCTCCCTTCATCCTCACCCTTGTGGTCTCCTCCTCCAGCCCTGGTTAGATCACTCAGATGTGAACCTCAAGCAGCTGTCACAGGAAAGGGCTTGACAACTTCTTAAGAGAGAAAATGCTTATTTATCTCTGTGGCGCTTTGGGATCCTGAGGGAAAACCATTGTCACACCCATCCCTGCTCTGGGGCTGGAAATGAGCAGTAGAGGGAATTCTGTGTGCTTCTGACTCAGGACAGGCATTTCCTCCCAGAGTCAATACCGTTTGCAGTTGTTCTGTCTTTGCGTCTTCCCCAACCCATCCGGAATCAAAAGGATGAAAGAAACTCCTAATGATGTCTAGAGTATCGTGTTAGCAACTTTGCAATGCTATAAGAAAATGAAGGAAAGAAGGCCCGGGAGACTGACTGGTTGAGTGCTTGCTGTACAAGCTTGAGAGCTTGAGCTTGATCCCCAGTCTGTGTATTAGAAAGCAGGCACGATGTAATCCCAGAGCATCCCTGATGGACACAGGTGGATCCCTGGGGTTTGCTGTGTTGGTGTATTCAAGATAAAAGTGAGTGAGGGACTATCTAAAAACAAAGTGGGCAGGCCTCCTGAGATTAACACTTAAAATTGACCTCTGCTCCTACACACACACACACACACACACACACACACACACACACACACACACGACACACACAATAAAGAAAAGATTTATCTTTGGCCAAGTAGATTTGAGCCTATTGTGAGCAAGACTATCGCTGCAACAAGGTAAACAGAAGGAGGGACAGAAGGAGGGAGGGATGGAGGGAGGAAAGGACGGAAGGAGGGAGGGGGAGAGGGAAATGTCCTCTTTTTTTAATATTTTTTTATTTTTTTTTATTTATTGTGTATACAGCCTTCTGCCTGCATGCCAACAGAGAGCAACAGATTTCATTCAAGGTGGTTGTGAGCCACCATGTGGTTGCCAGGAATCGAACTCAGGACCTCTGGAAGAACAGTCAGTGTTCTTAACCGCTGAGCCATCTCTCCAGCCTGAAATGTCCTCTTTATATTAGCTGCAGGCATCAAGTCTCTGTGACAAAACCCTTGCTAAGCAGCTTACCTAGGGGTGAATTGCTACCCTCTTGTATTTTTGGAGCTTCCGGTCACTTGACCCTTCAATTTTGTGCCTGTGATGAGGCAGAGCATCATAATATGGCCTATGGTGGCAAAGATGTTCATTTCACAGCCTACAAACAGAAAGGAGAGAAGGGGTAGAGAGTTTCCATACTCCCTTTAAGGCACAGCTCCTCCTCCATCTAGATTCCTCAGGTTCCCACCCACCTTAGACAGCATCATCCACTGAGGACCATGCCTTAGAGGCATAAGGTTCTGGGTGCCTGTTGGAATCCAAACCCTAAGAACTCACTGAAAACCTGTGGCTGTAACTATCATAGCTTCCTAAAACAACCTGATCTAGTCATATATGAGTCTCTAAACAGCTACTAAAAGCATGGTTTGTTTCCACAGTCAAATAAATGGTTTGGGACCTTTGAAATAGATTCAGTTCTATGTTAAATACTCTAAGGATTTAACAAGAAATCTTAAAGAGATGTCTTAGTGGTTAACAGCCTTTGATACTCTTGCAGAGGACCCACGTTCAGTTCCCAGCACCCAACTGGGAAGCTCGCAACTTCCTATAAGGCCCTTTTTTGTCTTCTGCAGGCACTGCAGACATTCGGGAGCACAAAGAGATAAGCAAGGCACACACACTTATACATAAGTAAAAAAAATAAATGTACTTTTTATAAAAAGAAATTAATCAATCAATCCTGGGGACAGTGAGATGGCCAGAGGACAAAGGCACTTGCCAAACATGAGTTTGATCTCTAGAACCCAGCAGAAGAAAATAACTGATTTCAAGAAATTCTCTGACTTTCACATGTGTGTTGTGGCATGTGTATGTGTATGGTGAACACACACATACACCAATAGTTATAACTGGACTTAGTGGGTTCTTAAGAAAACAAGCATTAAATTGAAGTGGAGGCATGTTGGAGGCCATGGAAGGAGTTAGAGTGGGAAAATAAGGGGTAGAAATGATATTTTACTATATGTGCATTTATGAAATCTTAGGCAATCTTATAGAAAACTGATCCTAGATCCTTACAGTTAATTCTTATATTTGAATATTCTTTATCTCTGGGATCTCATTTGCCTGTTGCAATCATCACTTAACCAAGGTGGCAGGAAACCTTGATAAAAGAAGGAAACTGTTGGGAGTAGACATTACATACTTGTCTGGCCTACCCCTTCATTCTGTTTCCCAATTCTTTTCCAGTTGTCTTGGTCCTTGTGTTTGCTATCTGCTGGACCCCCTTCCATGTGGAGCGGCTCTTCTTCAGCTTTGTGGAGGAGTGGACTGAGTCCCTGGCCACTGTATTCAATCTCATCCATGTGGTATCAGGTAAGGGCTTGGTGGGTTCAGTGATGTAACTACATGGTAGCTTTTCCTTCTCTCTGTCCTGAGGCATCACTAAACAAGCAGCTCATAGGGATCTGGATTTCTGTCATGGAAACAGTGGGAGCTGATTGTACGCAGAGACTAAAAAAAGTTTCAAGGTTGTTTTTTGGGAAAAGCCAACTCTCCACGTAAGTGTGATAATTACAGCAGGAGAGCGGTCAGCAATCATCAGTATTTGACAGCAAAGAAACAGACAAGAGGAAACGGTTTTCTCAAAGGCACTAAGCTGTAAAAATAGTGAAAATAAGGCTCAAGTCCAAGCCATGGAATTTCAAGTTCAAGGTTTTTTTTCCAACAACCTAGAGAGACTATGACCATTAGGTTTAGGGCACTTCTGCCCACCTGCTTCTGTTATCCCTGGCTTATCCTGTGGGCTGTGGACTATCAAGGGCATAAACAAAGAGTAAAGGTTAGATGCACATATACAAATTAGGAACATCAAGGCTTAGGATAGAAGGAAGGAGTGGGGAGGAAGGGAGGGAGGGGAGAGAAAAATCATACTTTCCTATATAACACCTCCATTTCTGCCTCTGAACATTTGTACCCAAATACACAAATTCTCTTTCTTCAGCTGTCTCCTAGCCACGTCCAGGTATAGCTGGTGTCATTCACCTCCACTGAGTGTCTCATGACCACAATAGTCTCTGTTATAGGAGAATAACTGCTGTAGTCTTACTGTTGGTACCATACACACTCCTAGAAGGTGTCATGTGTATCCTTGTTACTAGCTTTGCCTGGGATCCTGTCTCTGCTATATTCTTCCATGTACTTGGAGAAAAAGAAGTCTAAATCCTCTGCTTTTCAATGTGCTTTGAGGCTCCAAGAATCTCCTAGTAAGCATTTGATTCATGTCCAAATGAACAGATATGTCTCCTCATCCCAGAGAGGGCACCAACCATAGACACAAAGAAGGAATTCCATCCAAGTGCAGTTTGCTAAACCCATGAGTCACTGGAGTTACTAACAGGAATGACAGCAATTTATGGGAAGATATATCACTGAAAAAATATATCTCACAGCAATAGTTAACTGTCTATAAATCTTTGGAAGGGGCCCAGTCTCATAAGCCTCTCCCCAGACAACTGTTGACTGTCTAAATCTTTGAGGAAAGGCAGACAAACCCTTGCCCTGTAATGTAGAGTTAATGGGAACACTGTTGTGTAGTCTCCAATGGTTGATCTCAGTTGGCAGTTGTTGAGGACAATGGCTATGACCATTTGTTGCCTGGAGGATGCTGGTTTTCAATACAGCTTCCACAGAATAATATCCTGCCCCCATTTTCCAGAAGGAGCTAATGTGCCAGTGTTTATCTAAGGGCACAGAACAAAGGAAAGCTGGGGCCCTAACCACCCGTAAGCTCCCTTGGTGTCTTAGAGAAAGGAGACAGGATATGATAATAAGAGTGGGTATACAGGAGTTGGAGAGATGGCTGTGTGGTTAAGAGCTCATCCTGCTCTTACAGAGGATCCTGCTTCAGTTCCCAGCTCCCATATCAGGTTTCTCACATGCTGTAACTCCAGTGCCAATGGGCCAGGCACCTTCTTTTGGCTTCTGTGGGTACTAGGACTCAGGTGAACACATGCACGAACGAACGAACGAACACACACACACACACACACACACACACACACACACAAAGAGAGAGAGAGAGAGACAGAAAGAGAGAGAGAGAGAGATATCTAAAGAAAACAGTACATGTGTAACAAGTAGAGAAAAGGCAACACACAGGCCACCTGGTGGACAAAATAAATGGTAAAATATAATTATTCAGTGGAAGAGTTATCAAGGAGAGCAGGAGTGGGTGGGGTAGGGACATGGCAGCGGAAAAGGGGATGATCTCTCTCCAAGAGGTTTTCAGCAGAATAAGGTATCTCAGCAGGGGCAGAGTGTTGGGCTGATTTACGAATCCTCACCACTGTGGCTTCAAATAATACCTTTAACTAAAAATCCAATGAAGAAACCAACCTCTTTTCTCTGATACTTGAGCATCTCTCGTTAGTGGAATTACTCAGCACGATGGAAAACGCATGACTCTTTCATGGCTCTGTTTGATACCTGAGTGCACAGGTGGATCTGCTCATAGCATTTCATATTCTCAGTGAGAGTCCTGTACACCCCACTGCTTCCAGGAGAGGCAATCACAGGGCTCTCAGGTCTTTGGTAAATATTTACACTTTGTCTATGTTGCTGTCATGTCTTCCTTCAATCTCTTATTTGCAGGTGTCTTCTTCTATCTGAGCTCAGCCGTTAACCCCATTATCTATAACCTCTTATCAAGACGCTTCCGGACAGCCTTTAGGAATGTTGTCTCTCCTTCCTGCAAATGGTGTCATTCCCAGGATCTCCCACCAGGACCTCCAGCCCAGAAGATCATCTTCTTGACAGAATGCCACCTCGTGGAGTTCACAGAGGATGCGGGCCCTCAGTTTCCCTATCAGTCATCTATCTACAACTCGCACCTCTCCACAGCCCCCTAGCTGGACAGGTACTGTGAAGGCCACTTCAGATGGCCTGCATTCTGTGGATCGACATCCCTCTGAGCCCCAGCACTGAACGGAGGGACATCCTGTCACCTGTGTCTCCTGTGTACCATTAGAGAGATAACAAGACTCTTAGATGCCATGCACTTGTTCCCTTTTTAATATAAAAATCCAGACCTCGTTCTAGGTCACCATGCACACATTGCTGAGTCAGACCCTCTATCTTTCTGTATTGTGAGTTTTCATAACTGTGATTGCAATGTGCCATGTGAGTCTTACTTAAAGATACTCTCAAAATGGTTGAGTTTAATGGAGTGAAGCATTACAGAGGAGCTAAGAAGCACAGCACAGTTAGCCCAACCTCCAATCCAAGGACTCCTAAGAAGCTACTGGTGGTGAGCCAGCGGTTGGCTCAGAACTGCTTGCTAAGGTTTACCCCTCCAATAATTAGGACTTTTGCAAGCTTTCTGTTGAATGAGCTATGGCTTGAAATCAGTCATAGTAGAAATATTTATGCTACAGAAATTAACAAGCTCTCTAAATCAGGTCTAAATAATTTTTATCCCCTGGAGAGCTGGCCTGTGGGCAGGTTGAGAGCTATTAATAAGCTGGCACTCTGCCAGTTTGCTGCAATGTGGATGACTTGTTTTTAGAACAAATGCTGGTAATGCTGTAATTATGGACTATTTAGAGTCATGGTTAACTTGAAAAAATGCTATGGACTAGATTTTTTTAAAATCGAGAGTTCCTAAATTAAAAAATAAGCAAAAAACTGCTAATTAAGACAAGGAAGCGGCATTAGCATTTTATAATTAACCTAGAGTCAAAAGATTATTTTTGGATGCCATCCATTAACATTAGTGCATAAAACAATGGACCGAGTGTTATTTTCACTCACATATCTATATTTACAGAGTCCACCACATATGTTGTCAAAACAGGCAAATTTTCTATATTTTCTACTTGGCTGCAGACTTATTTTCTTTTCAACATATAGAAACCTGGTAAGTGGGTGAAGGCTTTCACAACCAAGCCTAGGGATCCGAGTTCAATACCTGGAACTCACATGGTTGAAGAAGAGAACTGACTCCTCAAGCTGTCTTCTGACTTCCAAATATGCACCATTACATACGCTCTCCACATACCACTACACACACCAAACTAAATAAATTCTTATAAAAATGCGAAGAAGTATGTTATAAGTCCAAAGTGTGGAAGCTAACAATTCTACCATCTTCTAGAAGCCAAGCAAATCAAAATCATAGGCAAATGATCCTTTAACCCCTTCCTTTCCTCTCCCATCCCCCCTGTAGATGCCTGAATGCCACATGGGCCCCACTTCTGACCCCCACTTGTGTAACACTATGGAAGTATTTTCAAGGCAAGGTCAATGTTTGGAAGTTTTGACTAATTTATGAATGGGATAGATATTGCGGACTATACCTACACTATACTGATTTCACGGCGAGTGAAATACATTCACTTTGTTAACTTAGAGGGTTAGAATGATGGACAAGACTGGCAAAGAAAGCCAAGGCCAGGGACTACAGGACAGAGAGAAGCAGGGCTGAAGAGATGGCTCAGTGGAAAAGACACTTGTAGGCCAGCATGGTGATCCAGGTTTCAGTGGTTGAGGAAGGGACCCAACACCTGAAGTCGCTCTCCAAGCACAACTTGTGTAGCAGCACCCCCTTCACACATAATAATAGTAAAACTATTTTAAAAGAAAAACAATTTACCCTTCCAAACACATGCAGTGTCCATATACCATGAAACCACATGGAGGCATAGATAACAATGTTTGTAAGTAAATAGTTATCTTAAAAGGTTTGATAGAACACACTTGTTTGAATATTTTCACAGCAGAAAGACTATCTTTTATCAACACTTTATGCTTTGTTTTATAAATGCTGAAAATGTTAAATCCTGGCTTTGACAACCAGTTCTTCAATAATAAAATAGAATAAACACTGTCCTGTGGACATTCATGTGTTCTCTTCACCTACTGATTCTCCCATCTTACCGAGAGATAAAGTATTACTGAGTCCCCCAACCCCCTACTCCCACCCCCACCCCCACCCCTGACACCAGTTGACAGCAAGGATCTTACCCTTAGTTACACCTGGGGGAAATTATACAAGCAATCTCAAAGTCTCCCAGGCTACAACAGTCCTCACATCTCATTCAGAAATCTGCAGGGGCTGGGGTGGCCCCTGCCTGGGATCCTCTGAGGTTTGAGGCTTTCCCATCTGCCCTACCACCTGCAGCAGCCTCCTTCTTACAGCTCCTGCAAAGATTGGTGAGTCCCTACTGAGGGCTTATCTACAGGTGTCAAGATTCCAGGATGGTGGGTGCCATTCCTCCCCAAGGAAGTCTATAGATCTCATCCTGTGGGTCATGACCTTTCACAGGGGTCACATAAGATCATCGTAAAACAAAGATATTTGCATCACCATTCATGACAGCAGCAAAATTATAGTTAGGAAGTGGCAATGAAAGTAATTTTGTGGTTGGGGAGCCACAGCATGAGGAGCTGAATTTAAGGGTCACAGCATTAGGAAGGTTGGGAACCATTCCTATAGATATTACGTATAGACTCCTGGACACCACTCAAGAGTGGAGTCAGTGAAGAACATCCCCTATCCTATACACCTCAACTAGAAGTGCCCTCCTCTGCTGCCCCATGACCTCCTCCCTCCCCCCTCCCCTCACTCCCTACTTCCCCTCCCTCCCCACCTCCTCCAGTCCTCCCCCTCCCCCTCACTCCCACATTCTCCATCCTCCCCACCTCCCCCTTACTCTCCCACATCCTCAGTCTCATATTCCTTCCTGGGAATTTATTCCCTTTCTCCTCTGGAGGCTCAGGAATCAGGAACCACTTGGCTCCAAACCTTCCCTGTAAAACCTTCCTCCTTCCTCTGAGACCTATAAGAAGAGAACTCCTCTACTCCCCAGAGGCCCAACTCTTCTCAGACCTCACACTATGCTGCCATCTGTCTGTCCATGGTGCTAACACATTTAATAAAGCTCTTACTAAAATCTACACCCTCCAATCCCAAACCTGAACCCTTTTAGAACTGTACTATCAGGAGCTGCAGTGGCCACCAGGGATACACTTGTCTTAGTAAGCAAGGCCCCAGAACTATCAAAGGCAGAAGCTTGGACATACCCTTTCCAGGAGGCTGTGGCCCCACTGAGATTGGCACACGTGCTGTCATCTTATGAAGGTTGGATTTTGAAGCTTTTCCCCATCACTTGGAGTGCTTCTTGTCTCTCTCAAGAGCCTGAATATGGGGTAACAACCTAAAGTCCTTGTGACAATTAGGTATATCCTGTAGAACATACAAACAGAACAGTAGCTTCCAACCAACCAAAGCACTAAAGACACTGTCAGAGAGTATCTGAGGTGACACCACATTCTCCATCGACTTCATGTCTCCAATGACATATTTGGGAAGTGCCCTGATTTATGACCCTCCTTGTTCTGTTTCTATAAAAACTTCATCAAACTGTCACCACATTTGAACACAGAAATTGGGATGACCCAAATCCATGTTCCTGGGCCATGGTCACTATTTATATTTAGCCCTAGAATGAGCTCTTGTCCACTTTCAGGTGACAGCTGTGTTTTCTGCATTGGCAACCAGAATCAGGCCTGGGGCTTTCATCCACTGTGTCAGAGCTGGAAGTCCAGAGCTACCTGACCCATAGCTCTGAATCTGTGCCCTGGGCCATGGTCCCTCTATGAGGTGAAAGCTATGATTTTTCACTGATACTCATGTGCCAACTAAAGAAACAAGCAAGACAGATAAAGTAGTATAGCCACAAAGAAGCATGGAATAAAGCAGTCCATGGTCCCCCAACTCCATGTTTGGGGATTACAGTAGGATGTTTAGGTATAAATAGAGGAGGAGAGGTACCACTAACTAAGCAGTACCATCAAAGTTCAGGTTAGTCCATCATCATCTGGGCTCCAGTTTCTCCCCCAAGGTTGTCTGAGGGAAGTTGTCAGAACTGTGAGAAATCTTCCCCCAGGAGAAGAGCGCCCCCTCTGGCTGCACCAGCTTAATCATCTTCCTTCTCCAGTATGAGATTCCTGGGAAAATGCCAATTCCTTGGGGTCTATTGTTTCAATAGTCTGATAGCCCAAGGGTGGAACAGAGGTGTCTCTTTGAATAGTCTCACCCCTTCCAGGATAGTTACCTCGGGATAGTACTTAGAAATGCTACAATAAGCATCTACAGAGAAACCAATAATAATAATAATAATAATAATAATAATAATAATAATAATAATAATAGATAAATAAATAAACAGGGATGGGAACTTATCATTCAGGAAGATAGGGTTTGATGGCACGTTATAGTGTTATTGCTGGCTTTGGGAGAACATTCTGGCTGTACAGCAGCTTCCTCCAGGAAGGAGAGCAAAGGCTCTTGGGACTCAGGAAATAAAAAAAAACACATGTTTCAAAAACTGAAACTCACAAGTTTTAAGAGGCCCCTTGCCAGTGTCATAGAGGCAGTAAACAGCTGCTGGGGGGTGGAGGGCTTTGGCCAGCATAATAAATAGGTGCTGTAGATTTCAGGCCCACCCAGCTGCCTGCAAGCTGCACAGAGAGGTCCAGGCTTGCAGCTTCCAGGAGTCTTGCCTATGCAGGACTGGGTTGTCAGTGGGCACCTGCCTTTGAGATGCTCATGCTCATGTAAGTAGCCCCTCATCCATCCTCCCATAGGAACCTCAATAAACTCATTGGCTCACCAAGCCAGAGATGCTGGTATGTTGTTATTTTGATCTATTGTGGGTCCCTGGGGTGGGAGAGTGAGTGTGTTCACAGCACCCCAGAAAAATTTCACACAGCAATACCTCTCTGGGGAGTACTCAAACACACAGTGTAAACGAGCAATGTTGGTACAAAAACACAGCTCTCACTTCAAAGGGGAGAAGAGTTTCCTCTGGAGCCAAATGGAGTGACCGTGGCCCAAAAACACAGTTCCATGTTCCAATATGGGAACAGTTTAATAAAGTTTCTATAGTAACAGAAAACAGAAACTAGTAAATCAAAGTGTTGCTCAAGCACATTGGTAGAGACATGAAATTGATTGCTAAAGTAAAGCAGGGAGGCTCTGCTGTTGCCTTAGCTTTCTGATTGGTGGAAACTAGGGTCCACTAAGTTAATACATTTCCAAAGGTTTCACCTGATCATAACAAGGATCATTAAATCAGACACAGACGTGGGGAAAGGGTGAAGGGTGACTAAATTTTAATTAGGTTCTGGACCGGCAATATTCCAACCTCTCCCACAATCTCTGAAGTTGTAATCAGTTACTGGACCTAGCAGAAGGTTCAGTGGGGTGTGCAGCTTCTTTCTAGATACCTTTGTTCACAGCAACATGCTAGGAAATTTGTCAGGCTTTTTAAAAAATCATTATTCATTTCCAATCCAAATAAACAAGCTCCCTAAGATTCCACCGCCCACTGGTAGGACTCATGAATAATGAAGGCACGGACATGTGTTACAGATTGCTTCGCTGGTACATGAAAGATTAATCAATATTATGACAGGGCAGTCAACAAAATGAGGAGCCCAGAATGCTCAGAACAGCTACGCATATTAATTGAATCTGAAGGTCTTCAGCCTCTACCATCCAGGAAATGAAATGTCTGTAATTTGTTTCAGTCAGAAGATAGAGATGAGAACAATGATGGACATCAAGGCCAGAGATGAACAAAGATTGAGTGTATGAGTGTGAGTGTGGGTGTGGGTGTGTGTGTGTGAAAGAGAGAGAGAGACAGACAGACAGACAGACAGACGCATGCACATGCACGCATGTGTGTGGCATGTATATGTTCATGTACATGTGTACTCATATGCAGAAGGCACATGCACACAGCCCATGTTGATGTTGGATGAATTTATTAATGTCCTCATGTTACTCTTTCAGACAGCCATCTCTTATTGAATATGGAGCTCATTGATTGTTTAGACTGGCTGGGCAGTGAGCTTCAGAGATTCACGTCTCCGCATGCCCCTAATCCTGGGCTGGAGTAATGAGTGCACACTCCTGCATTTTTATGTGAGTGCTGGGGATCTGAACTCAGGTCCTCAGGCTTGTACAGCAGGCACTTCGCCCTCTGAGACATTTCGTCTCCCCAGCCCATCTCCATGTATTGACTCTACGGATGCCATAGAATTCCTCTCACTGACTGAAAGGGATTTCATAACCATTCTTTATTTTCTATTGATCCTGGCCCTGATTCAACTGAGACATGCCAACCTTTTCAATGCCTACATGATGTAACAGGAGTTCTAAGAGTTTAGAAGATTAACATGCCTTTGATATAATTTAACCCAACAGCACTTTTACTTATTCACATATCAGAAATGTGGATTTGGACTTTTTCCAATGATCATGCTAAAGCTTTCAACATATTAGCTGATTTAACCTTCTCAACAACTATAAGAGATGGGTACAGGTTTGATTCCATTCCCTAGCAGAAAACACCCTGAAGCAGAGAAGTTTAGTGATCTCCTCATGGTCAACAACCAGGGCTATTGGACAAGGGCTGAAATATGGGATAGATTATGAAAGGTTTCAGATCTGAGGCTCAAAAGGAGACACTGAGGCAGGCTGACCTTTTGGATAAGAGGTTTATTAGAAGAGTTATTGATGCCATGGACAAACAGCAGCATCTCTGAGTAGAGTTCAGATAGACCACAAAGACAGGCCCCCAACAAGAGTTCAAGCCCAGGAGGCAGAGCAGGTGTCCTTTATTATAGGGCTCATGCCACACTATTGATGCTTCATCCATAGGGCAGGCTTGCCTATGAGCTGTCCTTGAATCCTAGGGGCAATGGTGTGCTTCTGAAGAAAGAGTGTGGGGTGCAGAGGAGATGTGGGAGAAATGATAAGGAGGGACACATCTAGTGGAGGGATATCCATTATAATTGCACATTCTCTCTTGCCCTAGA